GATTTCCCTTGTGAGGTTGTCATGTATTTATTACATCTTCTGTGGGCCTGGAAAATGAACTTCTGGGCCTGGAAAATGAACCTCTTTCCATCTACATTCTTCTAAACAGTGAACTGCTGTTTCCTGAACTCTTCATTTAATGCTATAATTTTCTTTTCTCGGATGTTTTGCCTATGCAGTATTCAGGCACATGGCTTTTTGCTCTGAGTGATTTAGAATATTTACTATAGTCACCAATTGGGTGACAGCTTTCCTGCTAATACTCTGAATAAATAAATATGATGAAAGATCACCAGATTGGACAAGACACCTCTTTTAATACAGATGTTTTTACTTCATTGTCTCCCAGACTGAGTCTCTTAAAATGCAGGGGCAGTAGGGAGATATGTTCTGCCACAATTTTCTCAGGACACACAATTCTTTTATCTTTAGTTGGTGTTTGTGTCTCCTCTTGCTTAGAAGGACCTGCATAATCAGCTGCAGAAGCAATCTGACAAGGGGATCAGGAAGATAAAGGAGAGCACTATCAATGTTAAGTAAAAATTTGGCCAGTGGATTTAAAGACATGAGTGCTTGTATAAAACAGTGTTGTCTGTGCTACTGAGGAAAAGGCCACCTGTACCAGATTATTTAAAAAATAGTCTAATCTAGAGAAATGTGAAAACAGATGAAGCAGTTGTCCTGTATATTTCTGAATGATGGTGTATAATTCAAAGATCTGTATTCTGTCTCCTTGAATATGCTCCTTGACTATGCCCTACAGCTATGATTTGATGCACCTTTTATGCAAAAATTTAGTGCTGTATCTTGTACAGTATCCATTACCATGAACTTTCAGGAAATTAATGTGTGTTGTTTTATTGGGATGAGAAAGGGAGCATTTGACAGATCTATACATCCTAACTATTCACCTTTAGCAAACTTCAATAAATCCTTTGTAGCATGATCTGTGAAATGGATTAGATGTGACTGATGTATTAAATTTCCTTAGATCTAGAATCAGCCTGACTCCTCCTGACCCTGAGGGATTATGAAATACCTGGAGTACAAGCCATCTTGAATGTCTTCATGTGATATAGGCTAAATGGTGCCTTGGAACATCTGTTCCTGGAGCTCCTCCAACGGAGATTTCTTTCTATAATAGAAAAGCTTTGTGAAACAGTCTTTGGGAACCAGCTATCTGAAATGATCTCTTCTCATGAAGAGAATTACCTTAGTTTGTCTTGTAAATCAAGTGTGCTCTTAGTATTTGAATTCAAAGATGTTCAGCCATAACCACCATAGAGAAAGGGCATTCCTAAAAGTGGTCTTTCTCTTACTATCTCACTTTTTGAACTCTCATATGGATTGGAATTGGTAGATTAGGTTATCTCAGCAAAGGTTGCCTGTCTACTTTCTCTTTTAGGAATGTAAAGGAAATTGGAAAGATTTATTTTTCCTTTAATGGTGGTGCTGTACATTTGGTCTTTACAGAACTGGGGCAATTTTGATTAGGTACATTAATGAAAGAGACTAAGTACATTACTAGAGAATTAAAAAGGATGTTTTGGCCATTGAAAGGAAATTTTAAGCATTATATTTTGATACAATTGACTATAAACAGGGATATGAACATAGGATTTGGGACCAAGCTCCAAAAAGTCCTTGACTCTCTTTAATTGGTATTTTGAGATTTGTAAGAGTGTTGCTTTAGGATGCTTCTGTATCTTCCAAGTCCTTCATTTTATTAAAGATTGAACAGTAAAGATAGGATTTTCAAAAAGGCCTAAGTAGTTTTGGAGCAAAAGTCCCAATATTTCCTGTAAAAATTATGATCCTAGCTCACCTAGTCTCCTTGAAAATCCTGCCCAACATCTAGTTTTCTATTATCTTAGGGAAAATGCAAAATTCCACTAAAAGAGTTACTAGAGTGTATATGGTTTTACCTGTTTGTAACAGGAAACTGAATTGGACCTAAGTAATAGTATATAAGAAGTAAAAAACTAGCAAAATTATCTAGGTTTTAATTGTTCTTTCCATCAAGACAAGGTTTGTTTATGAGAATAAATTGCCTCTGCAGTTCACATTCCGATTTCTGTCCCTTGTCCTGTAGCTTTATGTGCTCATAAAACTACAGCACAAGGAACAGAAACTGTTATGTGAAATGCAGAGGCATCTTATTCTCCACAAGAAGTTCTATATTTAGGCTCCAGTTTAGGTGCTAATGTGTATGGCTAAAGTTAGTGGTATTTCAGGTCACTTACACAGATTTTAGATCCTACACCCTCCTGCACAACTCATCTTGTCTGGCCATGTTTGCTCTTTTGAGAACCTGTTTTGTTTGGGAAGGTTCATAACACTATGTGCCCAAGGTGTTAGTGGCATAAAATCCATGATTAGAAACTGACACTAAAGGAGAAGGACAGTCCTCCCACCTTTAAACCAAATAGTCTAGTGATTAGAGCATTTATCAGGGAAGTGGAGATTTGGAACCTACACATCCCAATTCCAAGAAAAAATGCCCTAACCACCAAGGCAATGGCAAGGCAAGATCAAGATCACCCTTAACCTCTCTTGTTGTAGATGGTCCACTGGGTAGCAAAACTGGTACGATTGTTGGGTCTATAAAACCAACCCATTGTGATTGAGGCTCGGTGAGATGAGTACTACCCCAGACAAGAAGGGGCCCTTGGTTCTGTTACCTGTCCCCAGTAGGGCAGATGCAATTCCACTACTATTAATTTTACCTAATGACTATTAAGTGCAAAATGCCAAAATATCATTAGAGGTAGGAGTGGGGGCCAGAACCCAATGCACCCTCCTTTGGAGGTCTCTCCTACAAACAAATTCCATTAACATCTTAAAACTAGGTCTGCCCACTCTGACAGAAACAAAAAGAACTCATTATTTAAGAATCATAGAACCATTGAAAAATAGGGTTGGAAAGGACCACCAGAGATAGTGTAATGCAAACTCCTACTGAAGGCAGAAACAGCCTGTCTAAGTCATCTCATATAAATCTTTGTCTAACCTGCCTTCTAAATCTTCTAGTAAGAGACAATCAACATAATTAACAACTAATTCTTCCTTATGAATCAACTGTGCTGTGAGTGGAATCACAGAGTAGCAAATACAAAGATGCTTAAATTAGTAAAACAATTTGCCCTGTATAATTTTACTATCAAGTATCCTATTTTATGGTATGTTAAAAAGAATTCCACTATTTTACAGAATCAGTCTTTCTTTTTTCTTTTATCAAGGAAACTACACATTATCTTTGAGGTGACATGGAATCCTTTGGGTAACTGAACTTTTTATTAGGTTAAGTGCAGGTATTATGATGATTACCTAACAGAGATACTTCTATAAAATCCTTAACTTGTGATCCTTAACTACAGCCTACTATACATAGAAATCATTGATTTGGATCATTAACTAGATATGTAGTAGTTCTGGATATGAGTAAAGTATTATATTTCATAATATCTATATAAGTAAATGTACTACACAATTTGCCAAATTGACAGAAGCTAGTTTCTTTAGTTCTGTACTTTGGGGGAGGAGAAGGGTGGGGCAAGGGCTAGGGGAAAGATAGTTATATTATTTTTGATAGTGTAGTATCACTGTTTTCCATCTGGACCCCAAATCAATTCATTGGTGTTATGTTCCACATGCTGAGAAGTTCAGTCATTAACCCTAAAGAAAGAATGTCTATATTTCCTATGCTCGTTGAACAAGAAAGCAATAGCCTAAGTAATGATGGACTCTCCTTACAGGCTCTGAAACAAGAGCGTCATAAGGAAACAATTCCCTAAGTGTTAAATTCCTCCAGAACTTTCAAGCTTGGCTGTCTGGTTTTGATAGATTTTGTTGGCAAATTTAAAGTGAAAAAGGAAAAACTATGGGTTCATACAGTTGAGAAAATCTGTTGCCATCTGTTGGCCACATGGTTGCCTGAATGAAAAGAGCATTTCCTCAATCTTTTTCTAGACCTGATCTAGCTGAATGCTGAAACAAAAGTCAGACAACTTTTATACCTGGCTCCTAAGAGGAAACCAATTGAGAAGTGCTGAACGTTTTTCTTATATTTCTATTGGTTAGAAAGATGAATCTAACCAACCAAAAACTTTTTCCCTGGAAATGGGAAAAATGCTTTTTAGAAAGCTCATTAATCTTTTATGGTTCTTTCATTTTCACCCCAGTACATTATAATGTCACTAAGGTGGAGGTTTCCAGATTTGAGGATATTGATTATATATTTTGAAAAGCGCTAGTCACAGAGTCTAAAATCTCAATAAAGAGAAATGACAATGGGTAATCACAGTGCTACTACATTACTTGGGCTAGTTATAAGTATCTGTATATTTGAAAGGCATAACAGGCATAGTATTATGTCGAAAAAATATAAATTTTTAAAGGACTTCATCTGTGTAAACCTGTTGCTCTCAATAGTTTTAATAAATCAACTAAAGTACACAACATCCAAGTCTCAAAGAACCAAAATAGGTGAAAATTCTTTCTGAATTTTTTGGGGAAAAGGAGTAGGACTGAATGTTTACAGGGAAGAGGCCCATTTCAGTTCACTAAAAGCATCTTCAAGCATGTGGTGGTATTTTTGTGAGAAATCAGTGCTATTATGTGAGCCGATCCAGTAAATGTATATGCAAATGATCAGTACAAACATCCATCTGTAGCTGATCCTTTGCTTGTACTTTTACTTGATTTGTGCATGCTTTCCAGTTAATCATTTCTGCAGACATTTTTGGCATGCACACACCTTCACCCTCCATTTTGAATAATCTGAGAGTTAGTAGCTTCAAAATATTTGTAAGATGGTCTTATTAAAATAAACGTTAAAGGAACACAGTGGGGTACATTTTCAGTGTGGAGCAGGGAGATTTAGCTGCATGACTTCCATTAGCTTTAATGAGAGCTGCACAGTTAAATCCCTGCACACCACATTGGAAGATTAACCCAGAATACAGACAGTGTTTACTTTTTACTACTACTGTGATTATTACCACGTTCTTCCTCCTCCTCTTCTTCCTCCTCTTCTTCCTCCTCTTCTTCATCCTCCACATCTTCTCCTTCCTCTTCATCCTCCTCTTCCTCTTCAATCTCCTCGTCCTCTTCTCGATCTATCTCTTCATCATCCTCATCATCATCAACTTGTTCTTCATTGACATCAGAATATTCTTCTTCTTCTTCCTCTTCCTCCTCCTCCTCCTTTTCATCCATTTCCTCTGTTCCATCAGTTTCATAACACTCATCTACCGAAGAGTTGTCTGTTTTAACCACAAATGGTTTTCTTTTGGGAGCAGGTTCTTGGGGTTGCTTATCTTGTGTTTTTCTTTTTTTTGCCAAAGGGCAGCCATACACACTGTTCAGGAAATAAAAGATTTGTGTTATTACACTGTCTGGCAGATCTCCTCTACAGGTCAGATTGATAAAAGCTTTGGGTAAATTTATTCACTTATAATTCTGTACTATGATTAATTACTATCCCTAAAATGTACATTTTCCAAATATAACACTACTTAGGCAACAATGAGTAAAGCAGAGAGCACTGGATTTAAAACCACCGGATTGCTGAACAGTCATTAATTTCCAGAAAATGCCACACCCAGATATCACAATTTCAATTATACAGTTAATAGGGATGTTAACAGAGAGTCTACTCATTGTTTTCTCTCTTTTGTGTGTTGAACAGGTGCTTTTTTTTTAATTCCTAAAAGTTTTTTTTCTAACAACTAATGACGAGTAGAATTAACAGTGGGAAAGTAGTGCTACATAGGTTTATACTATACTACTAAATATTTGATTATGTACAATGGGAATCCATTTGTACTCTATTTTTAAGATGATGATGATGATGATAATTTTCCTAAAATATCTACTTTAATCTCTCCATTACATGCCAGAAAGTTGCGTAGAGCATAACAAACCAAAAAGGGCAGAACCAGCTTCAGGAATTCTCAAACAAAAACAGCAACAAAAATAATAATCTGCAATATTTTTTTGAAAAGGCTCTTTCAGAAAGTCCAGCTTCTCTAAAGTTGGGTGCCATTTGTTCTCTAATTATTTTAACATCAGAGATAATATTTATGACAGATGGAAATCTTTCTTCTCTTCCATAGGGTTGTGCTCCTCTCTCCATGCTTCTACCATTTCCCCATTAGTGCCTGTCAAATATAATCATCCTTTCATAGCCGTTATTTCTGCTTCTGAGGGTGCAAACAGACATTGCTTTTGTGCCACAATAAACATTTTTGTGGTGGCAAGTTTCTGAGCAAACAGATATCCCAGCTCCTTATTGTGTTCCAGGTGTCTAAAAATGTTGCCAGAACTCAAAGCAGTCACAGTTTGTGATGCCATAAATGGGGGGACATCTTTTGCTTATTGTGCACCACAGAAATTCCCCTGCAGGAGATTCCCATGACACACATTTCAGACTGCCACACCCTGACTTGATGCATACTTCTGCATAGGGGTTCTTCTGCTTGCTGATTCCTGCCACAGCTGATTCCACTCCAAGACAATGTCCGTTTATAGAGAGAGCTCTTACCCTCTATATAAGGACGCTTCTTTCTTCTCTGATTTTAAATAGAAATCAAGCCATATCATTTTGGAGCCAGATCAAGTTTGGTCATGTAAGTGCCTATTCATACCTAGAGCTTAGGTGCCTGTACCAAGAAGATGATTCAATTTAATTGAGTTAAAAGCCTAGGGTTCCTATATGGTTAATAGGGAGACTTAGAATATCTGAGTTTTCCACAGAATCTAGAGGCATGTAAAAATAATCAAAAAGAAATGGTAAGCATAGGGATGTGTTTGAACTCATCTTGATCTCTGGAGCTAAGGTGCATGACTTACTTTAGGTGACACATGTCTCCATTTACTTGTGATCAAGAACATCTAGTTCAATTTTATGGTAGCATATTCCTCTTTTTTTGGAATAGCTTAGTGGTTACCACACTCACTCAGGCCCTCCTTATCCCGACAAGATCCAAACCCATTTGCCAGAAGAACAACCTAAAGAACATGCCCCTTCACCCATGCCCTTCTCCAGTTTAAGCCTGGGCCACTGGATAACCAATAACACAAGAGCCAAAGTGCCAGGAGAAGCCAAGTAAGGAAAGCGTGATCTATAGTTAGGGCATGTCCCAGGGAAAGGAAGAACCTTGGCTCCAGAAACTGTTGAGATTTTTTTTTAATGATTAGCTGGCAAATATAAAATGAATGAGTAGTTCTGGGAAGCAAGCACCAGAACCCAAGTACAGTATACTCCTCTCCACATGGTTGTTAGGACACTGTTCTGTGAAGTAGGAGATGTAGGCTGAAATTCCTGTAGGCAGAGGAATATTTAAATAACAGGTCCTGGTAAGTGCTCTAATTATTAGGCTATTGGGCAAAAATGTAGGAACCTCCACTGTCATTTTTGAGCTGAGCACAAGACTGTTTGTACAATTAGTCTAGTTGTACAGATCCTAATTGATCAGTTCCCTTGAGGGGAGAACCAGTGTGGATTGTACTGGTGAGAGCTAGTTGCATGACCGGTCAAACTGCATCAGTGTCTACTAAGTAAGAAAACCCTAATCCAAAATGGAGTTACCATCTGAACTGAGGCACCTATTAAGTTTAGGGACTTGTGGAGCATGGACAAATTGAATCTGTCTTTGGAATGTAGATTCCTACATTTCACCTAAATCTTCTTCAAAGACGTCTTCCTTAGAGCTCAGGAACAAACCATTCTAATGCATAGGAAGACTATCAAGTATGGCAGAAGACCAGTTTGGCTTAGCTGGGAACTCTTCAGTAAACTAAGTCACAAAAAGGAAGCTTATAAGAAGTGGAAACTTGGACAAATAACTAGGAAAGAGTATAAAAGCATTGCTCAGGCATGCAGGGATGAAGTCAGGAAGGCCAAAGCACAATTGGAGTTGCAGCTAGCAAGGGGTATGAAGGGAAACAAGAAGGGTTTCTACAAGTATGTCAGCAACAAAAGGAAGATCAGGGAAAGTGTGAGTCTCTTACTGAATGGGGGAGGCAACCTTGTGACAGAGGATGCAGAAACAGCTGAAGTACTCAATGCCTTCTTCGCCGCAGTCTTCACAGGGAAGGTCAGCTCCCAGACTACTGCACCAGGCAGCACAGTTTGGGGAGGAGGTGAGCAGCCAACAGTGGCAAAAGAACAGGTTAGGGACTATTTAGAAAAGCTAGATATATACAGGTCCATGGGGCCAGATGGGATGCACCTGAGGATGCTGAGGGAGTTGGCTAATGAGATTGCAGAGCCACTAACCATCTTCTTTGAAAACTCATGGTGATCAGGAGAGGTCCCAGATGATTGGAGAAGGGCAAACATAGTGCCCATATTTAAGACAGGGAAAAAGGAGGATCCAGGGAACTACAGACCAGTCAGCCTCACCTCAGTCTTTGGAAAAATCATGGAGCAGATTCTGAAGGAATCGATTTCTAAGCACTTGGAGGAGAAGAAGGTAATCAGGAACAGTCAGCACAGATTCACCAAGGGCAAGTCATGCCTGACCAATCTGATTTCCTTGTATAATGAGATGACTGGCTCTGTGGACATGGGGAGACCAGTGGATGTGGTGTACCTTGATTTTAGCAAGGTGTTTGATATGGTCTCCCACAACATTCTCTGAGGCAAGCTCAGGCAATGGATGAATGGACTGTAAGGTGGAAAGAAAACTGGCAGAAGCATCAGGCTCAAATGGCAGTAATCAATGGCTGGATGTCTAGTTGGCAGCCAGTATCAAATGGAGTGCCCCGGAGCTGATCCTGGTGCTGGTTTTGCACAATGTCTTCATCAATGACCTGGAAGATGGCATAGAGTGAACCCTCAGCAAGTTTTCAGACGATGCCAAGTCAGGGGGAGTAGTAGATATGCTGGAGGGTAGGGCTAGGATTCAGAGTGACTTAGACAAATCAGAGAGTTGGGCCAAAAGAAATCTCATGAGGTTCAACAAGGACAAGTGCAAAGCATGCACTTAGGACAGAACAATCCTATGCACTAGTACAGGCTGGGGGCTGTCTGGTTGGGCAGCAGCTCTGCAGAGAAGGAACTGGGGGTTACAGTGGACAATAAGCTGAATATGAGCCAGCAGTGTGCCCTTGTTGCCAAGAAGGCTAACAGCATACTGAGCTGCATTGGCAGGTGTGTAGTCGGCAGGTCAAAGGAAGTGATCATTCCCCTCTATTCAGCACTGGTAAAGCCACATCTGGAGTACTGTGTTCAGTTTTGGGCCTCCCACTACAGAAAGGATGTGGACAAATTGGAGAGAGTCCAGCAGAGAGCAACAAAAATAGTGAGAGGGCTGGGGCACATGTCTTATGAGGAAAGGCTGAGGGAACTGGTCTTATTTAGTTTAGGGAAGAGAAGACCGAGAGGGGATTAAATAGCAGCCTTCAACTACCTTAAGGGGGTTTGAAAGAAGATGGAGCTAAACTGTTCTCAGTGGTGGCAGATGATAGAACAAGGAGCAATGGTCTCAAGTTGCAGCAAGGAAAGTTTAGGTTAGATATTAGGAAGAATTTGATTACCCAGAGAAGTGGTGGAATCTCCATCTTTGGAGGTTTTTAAGACCCAGCTAGACAAAGCCTTGGCTGGGATGATCTAGTTGGGGATGGTCCTGCCTTGAGCAGGGGGTTGGACTAGATAACCTAATTTTCTGTGATCCTATGATACTTGAGGCATGTACATGACCAAACTGTATCCAGCCTTTGTGTCTGTTTTCTGTAGTTAAGCTGTTGCAAAAATGCCACTATGGGAATTCAATTTCCCAAACTTTCTTCATAATTACAACCTGCTAAAACATACTACCATTGTCTTACCTGTCTAGTGTCTTATTGAGTTCTGTCAAGATATCATTTCAATACAGGTGCTCAGTGATACAGGTGTGATCTGTATTGTGGTATTATGCTCTCCTCTGAGTCTAGATACATCGTGTTAACACTTGTGTTACTTACGTTAGCTCTGCATGCAGCCTATCAGCTTTCTTGAGCTAGGTGCCACAACAGGAGCTATCATAGTGCCAAACCACTTGTATTAAGCAAGTAGCTACTCCAGGATAGAAGTGGATACTAAAATGATGTAAATTACTCTGGCATACTGTTTATGCTACACCTGAATCTAGGGTCCTACCCAAGTCACAGCAGAACTGGGAAAAGTGCAAAAGGCAAAAATGCCACTATGTTTAAAACCATGGCTTTCACTTCCTTGCCAACCAAGCTGCAAGTGGGACCCCTCCACCAAAGAAGCTGCAGTGCACCCCACTTCCACCATGAATTCAGTAGGGCCCTAGTTATACAGCATGGGCCAGCTTCTATCCCACCTATTAGATTCATAGATTCATAGAT